CGATAGAATTTATAGATAGAAATTTATGAGTTGAGAGAGCATTCAATCAAAATTTGTTACAATCAAGGTTTGAAACTTTATATTTTATATTGCAATATTATTATTTATAATTTTATAATACGATTTTCTATGTTTTTATATACAATAAATTAAACCTATGATTATTAAAAAATATATAGTCCTCCTCAAAATAAATTTCGGAATCTGCCCTAATTAGATTATATGTTTGTGGCTTGAATGGGAAAGTGTACTGTTCAGACTCTAATTTTATTTTATTTTAGTTTTTATAAATTTTTTTTTATAAGTGTATGTAATGTGTGGCTTGAATGTGGATTGGCGAAAATTGTTACGGGCAACAACCAGAAGGTGGGCGAGGCCCATATTGTCGGGTTGAGTGGGGCCAGTGGGCTCCCACAAATCATAATTGGGATTATTTAACCCCATTTTTAAACATCATTAACTTCAAATTGTATTTCCAATTATTTCAAACATGTCTTATTAGTTGTTACTGTGCTTTTCCCCCCAAATCTTTGTTACGCGCAAGTCAATATATACCTTTCAAAAGCCAAGCACAAGCGACTGTAGTACGCGTTTCTTGAGCACACAAAAACCACTTTACACATTTTCAATTGCCTTTTTATACAAAAGGGGAAAAAAAAGAAGAAACACAAGAAAAAAGGAACCCTTCAATAACGATCAGAGAGGGTAAATAAAAAAGTTTGTGAAAGGGACGGACGGAAAAAAAAAAGAATCAACTCTAATTATGCGGGAAACGGCCTATAGACAATAGCTTGCTTTTATTTGAAAGTATGAGGATTGAGGACTGAGGTTAGTTCACTTGTTTTTTTTTAATATTAAACAGCATGTCGTGGTAATAATTGGGTTATCAACACTTGGGGCCACCAATTAGTAGGGGACGCTTAATTAAATGGAACTTAAAAGTAGTAGGATGACCAAGATATATGATGTAAAAATCTCCAATAATCACCAATAGATCAAGAGAAATCGAAGTTATATGATTTGAACGGTGTTGATGATGGAGACGAGGTCGTGCTTGTCTTTCTGGAAAAATACGATGTTTCGGCTTTAACTTAATTATTTATTTTTATAATGCTTTAACTTAATTTTTTATTTTTATAATGATCATTATTATTTTCTTTATTTATTTTATTAAGTTGGTAGGGGAATAATTATTTCATTGGGTATTTACTCAAGATAGATATTTAGACTGCTTGGAACTCTATTTATGTTTGTTCTCTTGGCATTAGCTGCTGGTATTGATTGAATAAACGTAAGATTAATTTGAGATTTTATTTCTCTTCTTGTTTCCGTTCGTACGCTATCAGTTGGTATCCAGAGACCAGGATGATTCTAGATACCACCGTGAAGAAACGAAACTGCTGACGACAGGCGTAACGCCGCCATCGAGTCTTTGAATCGCCAAGTCGAAGGGTTCAGTCGACAATTCCAATCGATCGGTCGCGAGATGACAAATCTTTCTGCGGGGATGGAAGATATTCGCCTCGCTCTTCATACTATTGTACAAGGCGAGCAAACGAACTGCAACGGACTCAGGGGTCGGGCAGGCGGTCGTGGAGGGTTTTGTGGGGGCCGCAGTCATGTGGGGCTGGAGGTTGTCGGTCGCTGCCACCACATGAAGGAGATGATGATTCAGACGCCACTTTCCAGGAGGTGAACCCGTTCGAGCATGGTAGTCCACGGATGACGACAACGCTCTCAGTGACAGGCGCTGGGAGGGTTCGTTCCGCGTGGACATCCCGGAGTTCACAGGGGGGATCGNCTCGACTGGACGACATTGGTCGAATCGATCTTGGAGTTCAAGGAGATGCTGGACGAGAGAAGGATCGGGATTGTCGCAACGCGTCTACGAAGCCGAGCAGCAGCGTGGTAGCACTTCAAGGCCTTGCAGCATCATTTGGGCAAGCAAAAAATCACGTTGTGGCTCAAGTTTCGTAAACACCTCGAACGTGAGTTCTTGCCTTTCAATTATGTTCGTACTTTTTTACCAACAATTACAAAATTTGCGTCAAGGCCAACGGTCGGTTAGTGATTACACCGAGGTTCGATGTCTGGGACACTATCAAGCAGCTCGTATCCCGATATATTGGCGGACTTCGGGCACCCATACAGGACAAGCCGAATTTGTTCAGCCCAGACTCGATTTCAGACACACACAAATGGGCCCTGCTTGTGGAACAACAATTGACGCACCAAGCC